CTTCAGCGCCTCTGGGAAACCCGAGTCTTGCTCTTTGGGTCGGCAGAGGCAGAGGGCAGGGAAGGTGCCTGTGAAGAGGACACCGAGAACCCAGCAGTGGAGCAGGGTTGTGTTGCAGAGAAGGACATCCAGCCCGGTGCAACGTGTTCCGTGACAGGCGGCTGCTGTGGATTTGCCTTGCAAAGGAGCAGGATGTGCCGGGTCGATGGCTTGGGGCAGAGCCCTGGGTGCTGCATCTGCTCATACAAACACGGCACGTGCTGCTGTGTTCCCGCAGGGCGAACGTTCCTTCATGTTTCTCTGCCCCTTTCCATGCTCCCAGAGGCTCCCTGTGCTCAATGCCTTGAGGCTGGCTTGGTGCTGTATGTCCCATTTTGCAGGTGCCTGGGGCTGCAAGGAACAGAGATGCCCTTTAGCTCCTCCTAACTCTTGTTTCAGCCCGTTTCCAGCTGCATCCCCCTCTGGGGCAGTATCATTACAGCCTGATAGATGATGGCTCATCCACAAGGAGCCCCTTTCCCTTAGGGCAATTCCAAAGCTCTTGCCCCTTTAACCTGCCATTTGCCTTCTTGAAGCTTAGACTTTTGAAAATCATTATTGTGACAAAGACCTCCAATATTAAAGAGTCCCTAACTCCTAGTGACTTATTTTGCTCGTGAATCAGTGGGGTCTAGCTCCTGCCTTGCTCATTAATATTTTAAAAATAATGTAGCTCTCCGACTTGGTGTGTTCTCAATTTTTTTCTGATGTGCCCCCTCACCTGCTGTCAAAATGCTGCTGCCAGCAAGCTGTGCTGTGTGGCCCCCTAACCCTGCCACCTGTGAGGATGCTTCTTCCTCCTCTTTGCTGCTCAGGTTCAGACTCGAGAGCCTTTGCCTCCTGCCCTGACCCAATTCTGCACCCACTGCACACGTAGTTCATGTCCTGCCATCCTTTCCCTGCAGGGCTTGGGTGTCCCTTGTCCCAAGGCTATATGGGATTTGTTATAATCGGTGCTGAGGACACTGCAGAGGAGTCGAGCTGGGCCCTGCCAGGGTGTTGTGGTGATGGGGTGACAGTGCAGGGTCAAGTATGAGCCCTTGGCATTGCTGGAGGTGACACCAATGGGACATGTGGTCTGACGCTTCTCCTTGACCCTTCCCCAGGATGGCCTGCAAGGTAAAACTATCTCCAACACCCATTCCTTGGCAACGAGCTTTAAAAGACCTAAACAGGAGTGACCAACCCAGCTGGTCCTGTGGATGAACCTGCATCTGCTGCAAAACGTGCACCAAAGCTGCTGTGCAGAGGTGGTTTGTAGCCAGGATGTGAGGACAAACAGACAGGACGATTCCTTGGTTTGTTAGTGCTGTCCCGGTGTGGTTAATAGAGGTGGCTGCGCGCAGGCAAACGATTTTCTGGAGTGCTTAATGGCAATAGCGCTTGGCTTTGGCACCCCGCAATGTTTTCTTCTCCCAGGAATTTCCTTAAGGAGAAACTTTCTCTTCAGAGCAATTTTTTAGTTGATTATTGCTTATATATGCAATTAGCGTAATTGCATCTGATTATGCAAATGGATTTAACCATATAATTAGAAGGTGGCCTGATGAGCTGTAATGCAGTTGTGAAATCTTTTGTGAAACTTCCTGCACTCCGGGCTTTACGCCCAAGTAGTTGCTGAGCTCTTGTGCTGTGGGTTCTTAGCCTGGAGTAGGGTTCAGCATCCTGGCTAATGTTCCAAAGCGTCTTTAAAATGTGCTGTTAATTACCCTTAGCAGTGGTTTTATGGTGTAAAGGAGGAAGATGACTGCTTGGCCTCTTGCCATACAAATGCTTGTTGTAATTATTCATCATGGTTTGTTTTGCTGTAAAGAGCATTAGTCTATAAAGAGGGCAAATATATTGCTGGAGACAAAGCAGAGCGAGATGTCCTCAGAGCTTTTAACCTCTCCATCCTCCTCCTTAAGGATATTTCCAGGTGACCAAATTGATGGACAAGGCACTGAACTAGATTTACAGTTCTTCATTTTTCGAACAATGCATCCAAACGCTTTCTGCTGCTTGAGCAGCAGAATTGAATACGGCCGCTCGCCTCCCGCTTCCACCTACGATGTGGAGATTTTCTCCAGTCGTATCCCATCCAAAAGTGTGTTTTGTGCTGGGAAACGTGCAGCTGGGTGATAAATGTGGTGCGGAAAATGCTCTTGAAGTGGCAGCCTGCCTGCGGCAGAGGAATAGCTAATGTGAAAAATGGCAAATAAGAGGCGTGTAAGTAAATTATGTTCATAGAAGCTAGTCTCCAGCACTCGTGCCTGTAGCCTAATCTTCTCGTCCAAAGCAGGTGTTTGGTGCTCTTTAAGATCAGACTGGTGACAATGGCGAGGGGCCCCGGGCCCAAAGATGCCCCTAGAGTGTTTGCAAAGTGGCTGCGGTGTCCCCGCTCGGCGATTTCCCATCGGGATACAGAGCAGTTATGCAGCAGCCTGGCAAAAGGAGCAAGTCTGCCATAGATCTTGATTTGTAGAAATAAAAAACTACTTTTTTGTACTGCTTGTTATATACTGTGAGGAGAACCTGCACATAACGAAGCCACACTGAGCCCTAACGTGAGCAGTTATTTAAATCTTGCAGATTTTTTTATAATGCTTTTGGCTGTAATGTATCTTGTGTGATGTTTTAGAATATATTTGTCTCAATCTAGTGAGTTACTTGTGCTTGTGGTGATACCTTTAGAAAGGAGAGATTTTGGTGTTTAGATGTGTGGATTTTTTCTGCACATAAAATAGGTTGGGAGTGAGAGGGAAACCATCCAGAAATGAGCTGGAAACTCTTGTAATGGCTGTGTAGCCATTGGCTATGTATGTCTTAAGTGATGGAGTGGGAGGCTTACCACGGGGTCCTTCCTGATGGGAAAGCCCTTCATAGAATCATAGAATGCTGAAGGTTGGAAGGGACCTCTAGAGATCATCTAGTCCAACCCCCTGCACACGCAGGGTCACCTAGAGCACGTGGCACAGGACTGCGTCCAAGCGGGTTTGGAAGATCTCTAGAGAAGGAGACTCCACAACCTCTCTGGGCAACCTTCCCACCCCTTCTCGCCCCCTGGGCTGCATCCCCTTCTCCGCATCTCCTATTGCTCCCTGATTTATGGAGGTTAACTGCTGAAGTGCAGATATCTCCAGGGTTATTTTCCAGCATTGCTCCTAGGGAGGACACGCAGGCTGTCGACACGGTGGTTGTACCTGTGCCGGCACAGGGAGCATCCCGAGTTCTGCACGGCAAGCATTTGTGTGCTGAGCGCAAGCGTTGCCAGCTGCAGTGCTCCCAGATGCTCTCTGTAACCCTTCCTTCTCTTTTTTCCTTTTTTCCCTTCTTTTTTTCCCTCCTCCCTGCTGGCAGGGAAGGCCTGGGAGCAGCAGCACCCACCAGCTTGCTCCAGGTGCTGGATTTGGGCGCTTCAGCCACAGCCGCGGTGTGACACAGGCAACCGCAGCCCTTCCCTCCCTGCTGCTGCAGGAAAATCCCTGGAGCTGGGAGCAGGCAGGTTTGGAGCCTTCGCCACAGCCCTGCTTTGGCCACGGGTTATTTTAAATCACTGTTTTTGATCAAAATTGAAATTACCCTGTGGGAAGCAGTGTTTTAAATGAGCAGTTTTAGCTCTGTGTTGTGTTTGAGTGTTTTGTTGGTCTTTTCCAAATTGCAAGCTGATCCCCATGTGCGGGTAGTTGTTAAGCTGTGTTGATTTGACTTTTACACTCTCCGTGCATGTATATTTAAATATTTACATGACTTATGAAAAACATAAGGTTTTAATTTTTTGTGAGTGAAAATAACAAATGATGCTTGCTTTCTAGTGGATTTTTTTGGGTGTGATTTGTGTCAAATTGTGTAGGAGGCAAAATGCAGTAAAATGCATTTTATTTTTATTTGCATGCTTTTATTTTTATTTGGTGCTAGCAGAGTACAACACCTTAAACGTGCTGGATACCAAAAGGAAAAAGTATTTTTCCTCAAGTTGCATTTAGTATTTCAAAGGGTGAAGTTTACTGAGGAAGCATTTGCCCCTGTTAGGAGGTGGCCTGAGTCGCTTGGTCACCAAGTCCTGCAAGGCTTTAGGGTTAGTAGGTTGTTTCTGTGCTTATACCTCCTTCGCTGCAACAGATTGAAAGGATGGAAATGTGTTTTACAGCAGCCAACTGGTCTCCTAGCTTGGAATGAGCTAGGCACTGAGTGAAAATATTGGAATGAACTAAAAACTCCTGTTCTTGGCCCCTCCAAATTAAGGGAACATCCGCCAGGTGCAGCACAGCCTGGTGCGACTGGTTGATGCCTCCACCCATTGGCAGCTTACTCATCTCTAACGCTCTTTCAGCAAGTAAAGATTTGCTTATGTGTTTGTTTTACCCTTGTAACTCTGCAATTAATTGGAAGTTTGCAAGTCACAAGCCATGGCTCGGCTTCATGGCCATCATGATGGTGTCCCCAGGACAACTGTACTACTCTAAATGGCTGTGAGTTTGCTCTGCATGGGTTTGGGTAGGCAGCAGAAGCTGTTGTACCCTGTGAATGAGCTGGAGAAGCCAAATTTTGACCTTTTACCCTGCCTCTCTTTACGAAGCAGGACTTCTCCGTTTTACCATAAATGCTGTTTCAGTGCCGTACTAGCTACAGAAAGCAGAAGCTCTTTTTATCCATGTGACTTCTGGCTCATCAGATAAAACCTCGTCCTTATCACTTGTACAAGTTTCCTATCTAGCTCGGTGGTTCATTTTGCCTTTCCTTCTGGCCGTTTGCGACTTGTTCACAGCCTGCCGAGATGCTGCTTTCATTTTCTTCTGTGTCATAGAGGGGGTTAGACCGGCGCCTTGCTTTTGTGCGGAGCTGATATCATCACTGTGACCTCTTTGTGTTTCCTCTTAGATATTCCATGGGGAGCTTCTTTCGTGCCGTGTGTCGTCCGTGAGTGCTGGTATCGCAGCTCGTTGCAGTGTCGTCTGAGACTCGGGGAGCCGGTTGCAGCCATGGGGGACTCTTCCGCTGACACTTTGGATGCAAACACATGCAAAGACCCACAGACCGACCTGGCAGAGCGGGTGGCAGCCATAGAAGTGGCTGCTGGCTCAGACAGAGGTGACCCCAATGGTGAAGACACCACTGAGGAAAACGATACCGTTTTTTCTGATAACCTAAAAGACATCCAAAGAAATGGAGTCAACAGTGACTCGGGAATGAATGAATGCCTCCCTTCCCAAGGGCCTGAAGATGCTCACTGGCGGCACGTTCCCAAGAGACCTCCTAATAGACCTGTCCTATCAAGTAGGAAGCTGTCTCTCCAGGAAAGACCAACAGGAAGCTATTTGGCTTCTAGCAACACTTCAAGTTATGGCCCGTATGCCACTGGGCCGTCGCCACGTATAATGAGACGACCAACAATAGAGTCGAATCGGGTCTCCATCTCAGATGCAGAGGTAGGCTTGTTCTCCCCTGTAATCACGGTTGTTGGGGGTTCTTTAGCCTTTTGAAGACAGTAAACCTGAAAGCGCTGTTCTTTCGAAGAGTGATGGTGGGGAAATTCCTGGAAACAGTAGTCACTTAAAGCTTATATGAGCTTGGAGTGGGTGGACACCTTTACATCCAACACCAAAACCACTGCTGGGCATTGTCCAGGCCTGATACAGCCCTTCAGCCTTCACCTACCTGGCATCAGCCTGGCAAGGGGCTGAAGGCTCCGTGTGTGCTTCGGCTGGCTGTATTAACTACAGCATGCACATGGTCTACTTGAGGAAAGGGCTGTGGACAAGTGGATTTGCGCTCTGTGTCCCTGCAGCGTGTGCCCTTTGGGGGTTTTAGCAGCTCCAGCAGCTTTGTTGCTGGCATTTATGGATTTAAGCTTCTGGATATTATGCATCTCCTATTGTGTTTTGCCATTATTAAAGCACGATTTAATTATATAAAGAGCTTAAACGCACCGATGTTTCCCTACTCTTCTCAGTACTTTCTTTAAAGCAGATGTATGGGTTTGTAGAAGCCATGAGGGCTGAGGGCCTTGGTCCTCCCCTCCTTCAGATGTCCTGTCTTGGGGCTGCTGCCCCAGTGCCCCAGCTGGGGTCACCCCTGCCCCAGCAGTGTCACACGCAGGGTGACCTGGACCCAAACATCTGTGTGGCTCAGTGCTTCCCTCCGGAGACGTGTGTGGTCCTCCCCTTGTCCATGGGAGAGGAAGGATGCTGTGCAAACGGTGCTCTGGGAATTCCTGTGAGTCCCTTTAGCGGTGAGCTAAGGTCATGGTGGTCCTGCTTACTTATAAGATAAAGGAAGGCTTATTAGAGGTGGGATGGCTTCATGGTGAGAGTTTGGTCCCCCGGGGATAAAATAACCCCATGGTGATGAGTACAGTCATGGTGTACATAGCAGCAGTTGTGGTTGTGTTTCTGCAGGCTGGTAAATCACTCTGACAAAATCCCCCATCAGTCATGGCATTGCCCCAGGCCTCTCTGCAAACGACTTTGAAGCACCTTTTCTAGACAAATAACCCATCTGTACTCAAATCCGAGTACTCATGTGCTCAAAGCCCTTCTAAAGCTGCTCCTTTCTCCTTGCATTGAGTACCTGGCACTGTCAGTGTGTGCCTTTCCTGCAGCAGTGCATCCATCACTCCATCTGGCAGTGCTACCGAAGGAAGTTAAAGTCTCTGCAGAAGTGAAGTTCACAAGCACTTCTACTTTATCAGTGGTACATGAGCCAGTGGCATCGCTTGGAAGCCACGTGGATGGGACAACTGCAGAGCCAAGTTTCCAGTGTTACGTCTGTATCGATGAGACTAGGGCTGGGCTCTTGTTCCGCCATCTCCAAACCTTTTAGGCAATCAAGAAAAATGCCACTTGGAGAATGGGATCCCTGGTGAAGTTGTTCCAGCTCCCTATCTTTCTGATTGGATTTCTCCCCCTTCTTCTGTGTAGCACCTTCTGCACCCTCGCAAACAGGACATCGTGTTTCTTGGCTAGAGCAGTGAGCTCATTTGCTGACAGCTTTTCATTAAGGATCATGCTGAGGTTTATTACACTCCATGTTTATCAGCAGCAGCAAATACTTTGCACAATGAAATCAAGAGGATTCAGGAATGTTATCTTTTAGTAGCACTTGGCCCAGTGATAGCTGTTTCTCCCCAGTAAACTCTCCTACTTCTTTCAGGAGAAGCAAATAATAACATAACGAGTCTGCTGGCCTCAATGCACAGGCCTCTCTGCAAGAAGTGGGGAAAAGAAAGGATAGAAAGGATTATAAACGTATAATCTTTGGTTTTGGTTGTGTTGCCCTTGAGTGCTCGGAGCCTCACAAAGTCTCAGCTTTCACCAGTTGTTGTTTGACTGAAGAGCGATGTTGGTGGGAATTGGATACTGCAGACCTGGACCTGTGGGGCAACCTCGTCCTGGCATTGCCTTCCCTTGGGCCTGTCCTTGGTTTTGATCCCACATCCCATTCCATTTATTATCCCTTTGCTTTGTATTGCTGTAACTCTGCCCTATCTTGGCTACGCAGAATGATTGGATGGGCAAAACTGTCCAGGAGGGCTGAGCATCTCTTGTAGGATGTATTGGCCCCAGGGGATTGGAATTGGGCTGGAAGGGTCTGCATAGACCTGGAGGGGAGAAAAAAGGGGAAAAAGGCAGTATCTTCTAGCCAGGGATAAGAGGTGCTGTGGGAAGGTGGCAGTGTCAATAGTGTCATTGCCCAGACATGCGGAGCAGGCACAGACCTTCTCATTCGTGCTAAATATAAAGACTTTGTAAGAGGATTTGCCCAGCTGGGTGGATTATGTCCCTCAAGAAGGACCCTGCTCTGATGGGAGAGGGGAAAGAGACTGCTGTGTCTGTGGGGACAGTCTCCAGTCTGCTGTGGGCACACGGGGCTGGCGAGGGGCAGCGTGACAGGACCCGGCGGCGGGAACCTTCTCTCCTGCCTCATTTGCAAAATTTACTGCGATGGAAAGCACAGCCTGCGGCAGGAGCAAATCTGCTGACGTGGCGTTTTTGCAGGGAATTTGTCCTTCCTGCATCTGTAGCCTGGGTTTTCCTACGCTTGGATGCTCCCTACTCCTCTGGGGGAGCATTGCAGGGTTTTCCCCTTTCCTCCTCTCCTCCCTGGTGTTTTGCAGGGCTGTGCATGGTGTGAGGCTGGTCGGGGAAGGATGGGCAGCCCCAAACCCCTCACGCCACAGTTAAAGACTCCCTTAACCATAACATTAACCTGTGCGCTTGCACTTTACAGACTGGAAATCAAAGGGTCTCTTCATCTTTCCTAATCCCCTGTGTGCCTGGTGATGTTTGCAGAGTTTAAAATAAAATGGAGATAATTGTTACTTATATCCTTGCGTGCTGCTGCTTTGAAATCTCTCCTTATTTAAGATGTTTATTGCTTCCTTGATAACAAAAAAATAAGGTATTAAACCCTAGTTCTGTTCTATAAGATTCAGGGAGGTTTTCCTCTCCAACCATTCTGATGCTGTACAGTTTTTTCTGCTGCGTCGCAGTCGTTCCTTCTGCTGCTCGTAGTGCTGATGGATGGGTTTTTGCCTTTGGAAAGATATTCCACGCTTTGCTAGCAGCAGAGTTAATGTGCTTCTGCGGCTGCATTACTCACAGTTGGCTCTTTCTCCCTGTCAGGGCAGTGGAAAAAAGCTTCCTTCGCTGGGAACAAGATCGAGATTTAAATCACTCCTTGTATTCCTGACAAGCCAGTGCTTGCAAACTTAAAAGGTCATAAATTCCCCGTTCCTTTACCCTCCTTCGCTGAGAAGGCTCGTGTTGGGGGAAGTAGCTAAGTCGTTGCCCATGTTGGTGCTCTGATGCAGCCTGCAATGCACCAGTTTGATTTTTGCAACAGGGATGCTGTGAGACTGGGGCTATAACACTTAAACTCTCTTAACGATGGGCCAAGCTTAAATAAGGTTTAGTCGTCTTTTATTTGGCACTTTGCCTCGACTTGGTGCCGATTTGAGCTCCATCGTTTCTCCTTCTACCAATCCTCTAATTTTGTTCTCCTCTCGCCCTGCAGGACTGTGTGCAGCTGAACCAGTACAAGCTGCAGAGCGAGATAGGCAAGGTACGTGGCTGGAAACAGTGCGGCTTTAGGAAATAACTTGCATGCGTGCACAGAAACACGGAGAAAATTAGTGTGGCATCCCAAGGCATCTGGATGGCCAACTGGGAAACTGGTGTGTGTTTTGATTTGAGTGGGTGTTTTTGGTTCTTGCCCTATAAGTATGACTAAGCCGTGCTCAAGGTCAAAGCAGAACCGCTTCCTCAGAAGGCTAAGTGTTTCCTCCCCTCCCAAGGTAGATGAGTTGGCTTCCTTTCAAGGTGCTACTTGCCAAGCTAATGCCTCCGATGCGCTAATGTGAGCTGACAGGGAAAGGAAAGCACAGAAAGAAAAAGCCCAGGGCAAGTGCTGGGTCCCCCATCAGGACTGGCTAAGGTTTTCCATCCATGCCTGAGCTGCTAGGTCAGGTCTAGTTCCGTCACTTCTACTCATGTGCCGGGGAGAGCAGGTGCTTTGGGTGGCGCTTGGCTTGGCTGGTACCATGTGTGCATCTGTCATCGGGGTCCACTGTCATGGGTGGGCAAAATCTGGGAGGTTTCCTGCCCCTAGGGCTCTTGCCTGGATCCTTGGGGGTTTCCTTCCCCCCCCAGCACTCAGCTGACAGGGGCTTGTGCTTGTTTGCAGGGCTCCTACGGCGTCGTGAAGCTGGCCTACAACGAGGACGACGACAAGCACTATGTGAGCATCACACTGCCTGTGTTTTAGCCACCTACATGTGGGGCTCCCCGTTCCCATTAGGAGCAGGGGGTGGTGGCACGCAATGCAGGTGGATTTGCAAGGAGAGGGTCATCATGAACATGCCAGAAACCCACCCAGCTGGAGGGCACAGCCCCCCTTGCGGGATGTGACCCCCTCCCAGCACATCTCCCCATGGTCTGAGCTACAGTGCATGGCATTGGGGTTAACCCAGGGGCAGTCAACAGGAAAACCAACGGCAGCAGTGAAAGCCCAGGGTCGGGTTAGCCTGCTGCGTGCTTGCTAATGCTCGCTTAATCTCCCCCTCTTGTCCTAATCCAGCCAAACCCCCAAGGGCTATAGTGGGGGAGCGTGGCTCCTGCAGCAAGGTGCTCTGCAGGGCCTCAGGGACAGGGCTGACATGCAGCTACACTTGTGGTATTTTTTTAATCTTGCTCCGTGTTGAAAAGCAATAACAGGTAGGAGGAGGAAATCAGACTCTTGAGTGCGATTTGGAGCATGGTTCCCGCTTCTGGCCAAAGTGCAGGGCCCAGTGCCAGCTATGCTGAGTTTTGGATCTGTCATAGGATTAGGGAAAACTCCTGAAACAAGGAGAGAAGGAAAAAAGATGATTACCGCATCTGGAAAAAACACAAAGGGGTTGTATTTGTTTCCTGGCGTTTACTTTCTGTGAAAGAGGAGGAGGTGTCTGCACAGCCTTATCCACCGCATTGTGCCCAGCTGCGAATCCCGGGTGCCAGGAGCATCTCGGGGACATGGAGCTTGCGGCACCACACGTGGCCCTGGGCGCCTTGCAAGGACCCTGCGGCTGCGAATGCCCACGAGGCCCTGCCAGGGTCCCTGGGCTCCTGTTTCACTGCCCCATTTGCAGTGAGCAGGAGGGGGAGAAAAAAAGCCCAGTGCTGTTTTGGAGCAGCAGGGGAAAAAGTGAAAGTCAACATTTCCAAGAGGGAAATTGGTCTGGAGTCACTGTGCCAATGGGATTTCATTCTGTGATGTCTCAGGTCATGGTTCCATCCTATTTTCAGTCTCTAAATCAGCTTGCAGGGAAAAGGGGCAATGATGAATATTTGTTATGCAGCTTTCAACAGCACTTGCGTTGTAGTTGTCTCTTTCTTCTTTAATCTGGTTTCCTGAGAAACAAGATTTGTGTGATTGCATGCTCAGACTGTCCATTTCTAGCTAATGCCCTTGGCACTGAGGGCTGGTTTCTGTTGAGCCTCGAGGGGGGAAGTTCCTCAGAAGTTATGACAAGAGACTACTGAATTGAGTGCTGCTACCAAGGAAAACATGGCAGCAGCCAGCCTGAACCGTGCTAGCTCCTGGAGAATCCACACAGCAGAGGGCTGTTACAAATGCCTTAGCTTTGGGTGGCATTCGAGCCCTTCCCAGGTTTGGATCCCTTCTGGCCGAGGTCCCTGTGTTAGCAAGTAAGGTGACATCCTACATGCATGGGCGTCTTGGAGAAAAGGATGCTTTGCTGTTGTCAACAGAAGCAGGATGGGGACTTGAGGGCTCGCTGCCGTGCCCTGAGAGCGTTGTGTCGTGTCAAGCTGGGTTGTCCTCCCGGTTACACCATGCAAATCCAGAAGGTTTCACCAGACTGGTACCAAAAATAACAGTCATTTGGTGAGCTGTGAGCCTGGCTGGAGAGGTGGGATCCTGGGAGTGTACCGTGGTCCTGCTGCCAGCACAAACTGCTGGAGAAGGAGCCTGCTGGGATGGTCTTGGTGACCCGTCCCTGCTCTGCGCGTTAGTAACAAGTTGCAGAAGCTGCCTCTGACAGGGTAATGCAAAACGTCACCCATTTGCCTGCGTCTTGCAGGAGTCTTTGGTTATATTTCACAGGGGTTACTCCTGTGCGAATGGTAAATAAGGTTGTTGTTTAAATAGGAGAAACAACCCAGTGTAAGGGGAAGGAGAGAGTGACCGTCCCCACCCTCAGAGCACAGACTCTATTTTCCTAAGCAAATTGTACCAGGAGGTGGTTGCTTATGGAGTATTTATCTGCTGGGCTGCTTCAGGGTGTTAGAGTAGCCCTCAGAAAGGGGGCCTGTAGCACCCATCATGAACAAGGAAACCTCTTCCCTAGGTTGAGGGCAGAGCTGAGCATATCCCTAATGCCCAGTGTACTCCAAGGTCATGGCAATGCCGCAGTTTTAACACCACTTTTTCTTTCTTTCACTAGGCTATGAAAGTCCTCTCCAAAAAGAAGCTCTTGAAACAGTATGGATTTCCACGTGGGTATCTCGTGCCAGAGGTGCTGTGCTGAGCCAGGCAAATCTCCCCGTAGGAACATTGCCCACGTACGGGCTGCGGCACGCGGCCTCCTTTGAAAGCCGCCCGCGGAGCTGGGGGCGCGTTAAAGCGCCGTGGGTATCGAAAGGACAGGCACTAACACGGGGAAATTCAAAGTACTTGGTAATTAAGTTCCCAGCTTTGATTTGCTGAGTGTCTTTGAAGTGCTCTCTCTTTCCTGCCCACTATCTGTGAAACCTAATTAAATGCTGGAAGTTAGGCAGGGTAGACCCCCTTCTTCTCCTGAGGTCATTTCTACCCCTCAAATGGCACCTGGCTCTGGTGGCAGGGACATGGCCAGGCTAGAAGCCATCAGAAGCTGCCCTGAGCTTGGAACACTCTGCTCAGGGTGGAGACTGAGCACTTTGGCATGGTGAGAAGGGGATGAGAAGGAGGAATCTCACAGGGACTCTGGCTCTGCCGCCTCTTTCTTGGAGTTTTGGATCTCCAGTGTTGTGAGTTCAGGAGTTAGTAAGAGCCTTGAAGTCAGACTCGGAGTGCTGTGAGGATGGAGAAGGTCAGGGTGCCGTGTCCAGGTGCCTCCCAGCACTCAGGGTCAGGCTCCAGAGGCTGTGGGCCTGCTCCTTGCCCAGATAGTAGCCATCTGCTCCTGCATGCCGGGTGCTATAGAGAAGGAAGCTCTCCCCCATCCTATGTTGTTGTGGTTGCAGGTCGACCTCCTCCTAGAGGGTCAAAATCAGCCTCCGGAGAGCAGCCAAAGCCGATGGCACCATTAGACAGAGTCTATCAGGAAATAGCCATCTTAAAGAAGCTGGACCATGTCAACATTGTTAAACTGATTGAGGTGAGGCAAGGAAGCAGATGGGTGCCATAACCATGAATGAAATGTAATAGGAGCTGGGAGACCCTAGAGATCCTAAAGATATCTAAAATTGCAGCCTACGTGCTCGCTCTGAGGGCATCACGCTTCCTGTGGGCTGTGCAGGAGGGTGTGCAGATGGGGAGTGGGGTTGATCCATGTGTGTCCATGAGTGTCTCCACCCCAAACTCTGCTGAAGTTAATCTCATCTATATTACAAGAGGTTGCCCAGCTGGCCTCGCTTCAGCCAAAATTGGTTTAAAACCAGGAATTCAGCATCGAGGCTGGTAACCCCAAGCAGGGCCATAAATCACATGTGACGAGCAGATGTGCTTGCCCTGCTCTTGAGGATGGTGGCCCTGTGAGAAGGCAGCAGCTGGGTGCACGGGTGGCTTTGATCCCTGAAGCTTTTGCCTAGACAAGGCCCGGGACAGTGCACAGGTGCTTGGCTTCAGAACCATTTTCAGCGGGTTGGGTTTGGATGAAAAGTGCTGTTATTTGTTATTATGAAAAGTGCTGTAGCAGTTTGTCCAAATAGTCAGACGCTTAGGTTTCTCTGGAGACAGGAAGTCATTCTGCAGGCTCTGCAGCTCAACACAGCATACAGGGAGCTGCAAAATGAGTTTTTGATGAAAAAATGTCTTTTTCTCTCCTTCTCTTCCCTCTCCCCTTATCTCTGTTATCACAGGTCCTTGATGATCCTGCAGAGGACAACTTGTAAGCAGTTTGTCCAAATAGTCAGAAGCTTAGGTTTCTCTGGAGACAGGAAGTCATTCTGCAGGCTCTGCAGCTCAACACAGCATACAGGGAGCTGCAAAATGTGGTTTTGATGAAAAAATGTCTTTTTCTCTCCTTCTCTTCCCTCTCCCCTTATCTCTGTTATCACAGGTCCTTGATGATCCTGCAGAGGACAACTTGTACATGGGTGAGTGAGTCATTATCTACCAACAGAACCTTAGGGTTTCTCCTCCTGGTGTGAAGCTGCTCTCTGAACTTCTCCTGTAGCCTATGGATAGAGGTGGTGATCCACAGTCATGTAAAGGAGCCCCTAGTGACATCTCTGGACGTGTTAACCTTCCTGCTAAGCTGTGGACTTCTCAAGACAGCGGTGCTGTTGTGTTGGGCATCTTGGCCCAGAGCTACTGCTGCGTGTCCACCATGGAGGTCACAGGTGACCTCCTTCACGCGGAGAGTGGGGAATAAGCACCACTCTCGTCTTCCTCCTGCACAAGTCTTGAGGTGCCAGCTGTGGTCCAGTGCTAGATTTGGGCAAAATCTGGAGGTTCAGGCTTTGGTGGCACTGAGACGGGCTGGAGGAGGGAGCATCCAACCCCCGTACGTCTCCATTGCCTCTGATGTTTCTTGTTCAGATGGGCTCAAAGGCTGCACTGCTTCTCCTGCTGTAGCTACAGGATGCTTTTGAAGCTGTCTGCAGACCAGGGCTCCTGCAGCATCTCTCTTGGCATTGGCAGTGTGGCAAAAATCTCATAGGCAGCCACGTCGTGGCCGTACTGAGCAGGGCAGCAGCGTGTCAGCAGGAGCTGCAGTTTAGCTGCCAATTGAGCCCCTGCTGTCTCTTCACTCGGAGTTGGTGGGAGGCAGGGATGTGTGTCCTCGCTAAAGAGAACAACATTCTCATTTTTCATCCCCCGGTACCCACATCACAGGGAAGGGAAAGAAGCAAGCGGAGAGGGATTGATTTTGCACTGGTGGGAGAAGTTGTTTTTCTGTAGGTGCTAAAAATGCCCCCAAGTCCAGTTCTCTGACTCATGCAGACTCTAATTTGGTGCAGCCGAGTCCTTCGCCCCTGCTGCCTCGCAGGGCGCTCGCTGACGCTGCCCCTCGTCCCTCGCAGGCCCGTCATGGAGGTGCCCTGCGAGCAGCCCTTCGGCGAGGAGCAGGCCCGCCTGTACTTCCGAGACATCGTCTTGGGCATCGAGTACTGTGAGTACCGGGAAGCTCCTGGTGCCGGCGGGCGGTCACCCAGGTGTGCAGATCCCCCCTCACGTGTGTGACAGCCTTAATAGCTAGCTGGATAATCCGTAAAGGACATGGTTTCCTGATGGAGAAAGGCCACAGGTTAAGCAGG